GGCTGTTGAGAGCGAACTCTGCCACATTTATCAGCGTCTACGTCCCTACTGTGTTATTTTCCCGTGAGGAAAAGAACAATTTCTACGATCAACTGTCGGAACTGGCAAGATCGGCACCCCTAATTCCCAATTCTCTTGGGCGATTTCAGCGTTCGGGGTGGCAAGGACTGAAACTTTGAAGGAGGTACGGGGTCCATTTGGATTCGGATCAAAGAACGACAACGTTTGGAGGCTGCGAACGATGTGTGTTTCTAACTCGCAGTAACAGACACTTGGTTCCATGCATGTTCAATGATGAAAAGAAGTGATTCCTGGAGCCAAGTGCACCTGTAACTGCTCCTTAGTGCGTGTTAAAGTAGGTGTCGTACTCGGAAAATCGCCCCGTTGTGAGCCAAGTGAAAATTTATTCAATTTATATGTGAGAAGGCTGAAACACGGGCAAACTGAATCGGAATTTGTCGAAGTTTTGACACAAAGGCCCGCGGATAGCCAGTCCCAAGTATACCTGGAATTAAATGGGCCCGAATTTAAACATGTCCAACCAACTTTTATGGGCACATTGGACTGAAGCAAGACTAGAGGCGAGATTGCTTTGATGGGAACAGCTCATTGATATCTACTTTGATTCAAAGGAAAATCCGACAAACCCAGAGATACAAAAGCAACTCATACGCTTCAGGACCAAGCCTCTGAAACATCCACAGAAAGCAAAGAGTGAATTGTGGGCCAAACAAAACGAAGAGCTCCAGTAGTCTGTTGGTCGCCGTCGTAACAGAAGCTTTACTGGACTGATGAAAATCTATGGACCGAAAAACCGTTTCCTCTAGCTGGTAGAAGACAAACAAGCTGGTGGAAAATCTAACAAGCTCGATAGAATTTAGGCAGCCTGGAAAAATCAGTTTTCAACACTACTCGACCGGTTAGGGACGTCAGTTTGAACTGTTCAGCCCACGTGCCTCAAGATACAGTGAACACCTACGTGGCTGACTTGCCTGGAGCCTCAGAACTGACGAGGGACGTAACCTAACTGCAAGTTTGGTGGACAGCGGCATTGGACAGCTTGCTCACGTATATGGTAAAGCTGCGATGACCTACACTTTAGAATGAACTTCTTCGGCTGCCATGCAGCATTTTAGAGGAGAAGGGTGCTTCACAAAATTGCAAAGGTGTAACGATAATTCCGCCGTTTCACTGATAGCTGGCTTTCTGGAGGCAAGAGTAGTGTGGGTTCCTAAGTCGCTGAAGTATGGTTGATTTAATTTTTGCTGCTAGACGTACCCAAGAAAAGTTTTGTGAACCATATCAACCACTCAATGGCCTGTTTATGGACTTCACCAAAATCTTTGCTTCAGTCAACAAAGAAGCATTGTGGGTCGTACGGAGAAATTTTAGCGGTCAGACAAATTTGTAAACCTCACCAGAGCTTTCCACGTTGCGGCGAAAGCTCATGTGCTGACTGCGGAACTTTTTTGAACGATTTCCTGATTGATACCGTAGCGAAGCAAAATCGGTTTCTTACCCAGCCCTTTTTGGCCTCCCAACAACTAACTGCGGACAGGCTCTTTGCCCTTGATTAGGTGATGCCGATAGGATAGTTATCTGTTCATTTCAAGAACTCCGGTCAAAACACTGCAGCCCAAGTTCAGTGTCCGGATGCTACTGTTTGCGGATGACTGCTTTTTTTTTACATCCTTAGGCAGAATTACAGCAACTGGCTGTGGTCTTCGGCTCAGCAGCGTCTCTCCTTGGCTTGTGTATAACTAGTTCTAAAACTTCATTCTATCATCACGCACTGAGAATTGGACGAATTCTGTTAAGTGTTTTCGGGATAGCACGCTTTGCGGATTTATGCTATATTGGCAGCACATCGTCCATAGATATGACACTTAGAAATGAAATAAACGAGCGAACTATAAAAGTCTTTGGGGCGTTTGGCCCCCTTGGGCAACGCATTCAGAGCAACCATTATTTGAGCCTCGACATCCAGGTTGCAGTAAATAGGGCTGCTGTGCTGTGTCCCACTAATGTACGGCAGTGGGGCCTGGATGCTATTACGACAGAATATAACTGTGTAGATAGATTTAACTTGCACTCTCCTTGCTAGATAATTTCGATCCACTGGAATGACGGAATCTACAAAACATAATTTCGTTGGGGAACAAACGCTGTTTTAAAAAATCTCTCAATTGTGACACCCGGTGCCTAGCTGCCATGCTACTTGAAGAAAGCACGAGGGCTAGGATACTGTCAGGTTGCCCAAGCCTAGACAGGGGAAGTCGATAGGCAGAGGTCGGGTTCGAACCATGGACCTTCCAGTCAGTGAATTCGCACCCTTACCACATCAGCTCTGACCATCTTGCCCCCTACGCTGTTGTAGTTAAATGCAGTCTAATGGGGAACCGGATCCACTGGTTAAGCCGTTTGAGATGAATGGCGGAAAACTGCATCCCAAAACAACTTGTCTAGTTGGCTCCAAAACGGAATTCGAAATAGTGGACACCCGGAGTTCGGCTGTTGGGGCAACCTTCAGGTAGGTTTGAAAAACTATAATCCAGCACATTCAGTTCCCTGAAAACATCACAAACGAGAGATTCAGCTGGGTTCCAGGTGAGTCTCTCGAAAAACCAAATTAGTTTGCAAATGAGTGTATTTCGCTAACTATAATCCCTATTTTGGGTCGTGAGAGAACCTGTCACTCGACAGAACAACTTGGAGAACAGCTGTGCCAACGGATGTGAGAAGCTTTGAGGCGTGACTCGGTACAATGCTAAGAACAAGCAAGTCGTTGGAAAGGGATATTCCCAATGCAGCCCCTGTTTTGTGAAATTACGCAGCATGCGGGCACATGTGTCTCAATCAGATCGGCCTTGTGTGCTACCAACCTGCTCACTGAACCCCTTGATAAACGTAACCTTCTGAGATACAGGTTCCGTTTCCCAATGACAACCCCCTGACATTGTCATCCTAAGATGGAAACACCATTATTCACATGATTACTGGGACACCGCCAGGTTGTTCATTAACACCTTGACGGTATGTTAATGGGCGGCCCGTGGTAACGCTCGAATGGGGGTGCTATATTACACTAAAACTCAAGTGAATTGATGAATGATGCTGAATGATGATGAACAGGTAACTGGTACCAGTGCCGATTGTTGTGCCATCATGTGTAGGCGGGCTGTTGGCTTGCGACAGACCCATGCATTTGCCTTGGCTGGTCTTATTCCATCAGGGCTACATAGGTACCGTGAGCCTGCTCGAAGTGCCGAATTCGGCTCCGTGGCTTATTACTATGTACATACATTCAGCGGTTTGAACACTGTTGGCCGTCAGATCCGATTCATACTTTCATCGCCACTTTTCTCTTGATTTCATCCGAGTTCTTTTCGTTCGAAAATAACCGTCACCGGATGATTGTTCATCTTATCCTTGACTAGGTTTTTAACGTGAAGGATTCATATGATGTTCTCTTCTTAAATGGCCATGGTCGAACAAATAAGTTGAAGGAACATTGGTCTTTTCCCACAATCACTCTACATTGGTTACATAATGAAGATTCATTCGGCTATCCGAACTACCTATGCACCACATTTAATTTTACGAGAAAGTTTTACCTCAAATTACGAACCAGCCTTCAGATTCCAAAGTTATACCTGTTCAAGTCGACGAGTAAGGCGTTAGAACGAACTTGAGGTTTAAGTGTCTTTTTTCTATTTAACACAAGTGGAAACTCAGTATTCCGGTGGATATTATGGGTTAGTTTTGAGTACCATTGACGGTTTACTCTCAGGCAACTGTTGTATTCTTACCCTCATTATTGTTCAAACCTATCGGGGTTACAACCCTCATGGAATTCTCGTTTCATCCGTAGTTGGTGTCATCTGATGTTTTGAGTTGGTGGAGCGCACTAAGTTCAGTGTAGTTCAGTTTATTTACCATTTTTTAATTTTGGTTCTCTTGAGGCATCAATAATCTGGCTCCTTTTAATCTCTCGAACTCTAATTTCCATAGGTACCCTCTAGAAACCGAATCACAAGTTATATTCAGCTATCAGATGTTTGTGGGCCTATCAAATGCTGGTTGATTTACTTTTCTAACCTTACGTTACATGTTCAGCTTAGCACCTCAAAATTAGCCGGATGAACCAATTCATGAGTTTTCAAAATTTACGCGCCATAGTGTTCCTTTTCACTACATCTGATTTGACTCAGTTGATGCCAACACCAAACGAGTTGAGAATCAGCAAGGTATTGAATTCCACCAACTGGGCACCTCTAGGGATATGAGGAATGTAACTATCAAGGGTTTGTGGAATGTTAGCTTATGCATGCCTCGCGTGGCTTGGTTGGCGTAAGCAACCATACACTGTCTCCTGAAAATGATCCCCGAGTCAGCTGACTAGATAATCTACACATATGATGATAACATCTACGCAGCTTTGCATATTCGAATGAAATGCAATTTAAATGGTGCGACTACTGTTCTTGTGTTCAGAGTTACAGCTGGGTTGCCACTGTTTTATTTTAAATGTTCCTTAGTACAGCACGAGGGGGAGCACAAAATCTGCAATGAATGGTTTGATGTTTCTCGGTTAAGTCGCATGAACGAAACTCATCAAATGTGACACAATGCGAATCTACGGTGCAACCAAACTTAGTCAGGATCGATCCAAAAACCAGTGTGGTTTTGGAACCCCAAATCTTCTGGTCAGTTGCTCGTGCCATCCTTAGTCCAATCGACAAATGGTTCATTCTTGTGATCAGACCACTTGCATTTCCGCTTGGTACTCTATTTTGGGATGCTGAGGCAGCTAGCAAAGGGTTTTGACCATTACGCTCCATAGAATTTAGGTGCGAAGTTGCCCCATCGGATACTTTGGCGAAGTACTCTTTGGCGATGTATTCGTATATGCTACTGAATTTCAAGCTGGTCTCCACCAGCTTCATTATTTTCTGGTTATTTGAAAATGAATGATGATTTTCCGGGCTTTCTCAGGTGAAATGGCAAACACAAAGAAGCCACTTGTGGAGCTGTTTGTCAAGGCGGCCACCACGGATAAACGAGAAAAAGGAGCATGTTTGATCGGCCAGCAGTGGTTTATGACACTTTATAATCTAGTGGAACAAGGACTCATCGATCTTCGATTCACGCCCATGTCACTCGAGCTACCGCCGCACAATTATGTCCGGTTGAATGCCGCTAGGCATCTGCCCATAGCATGGATCGAATCCGGCTACATCCACGGCAAGGACCAGTCCGGTCAAATCATCACTTCGACGGACGGGTTGGAAGTACTGATGGAGAAACTTGGGTCACCAAATCTGGACCCACAGGTTGAACCAGCGGATGTATTACGAGCCGAGGAAGTTTTTGAAGATTTGTACATTAATTTGATGAACTTTATTCGCAACGACAACTACAAGCCCCTGTTAAACACACTTATTAAGTTGGATAGCTACTTGGCACAGAAAGCCCACCCATATCTTTTGGGCGAGCGGCTAACTTATCCAGATTGCCAACTGATGCCAAAATTGCAACATGTGCGTGTAGCCGGTCGTGCTTACAAGGATTTCGATATTCCAAAGGATTTGATTTATCTATGGGGATACGTCGGGAGGATGTACCACACCAAGGCGTTCACTTGTTCTTGTCCGTCTGATAGAGACATACTTGTTCACTATTCTGAAAAAGATCCACTCCCACGATCTATTCGTTTGAGTCTTCTGGGCCCAGAATTTTTATGCGAGCTACCTGCTACTTTGAGAAACTCACCAAACGTCAATGGCAATGCGTAAATAACAGATTCTTATCTCCCATGAGCCACTCATACATATCATTTCATACAGAACAAACATTACTTCACTGGAATTTAATCTCGAACTGCCATTTCACTTATTTCATGTACGATCAAATGATTAATGAATTTGTTGTTTGCCTTATGGTCCCCTTGGCGAGTAGCTCTGACACCATCCCAGGTTCCTTTCCTTTCATTCGAATTCATGCGTTTGACGTGCAAAAAAGGTTTATATTGTTGATAAGTTTTCTACCAGCTGTCCTGCAGCTAGTTTGTCAACACTTCACTAATTTCGAATAGCCGCTCGGGAGATGTTGGGAGGGAAAGAGGGGCTGGAAAAATCAAAATTGTACAGACTGTTCACTCATGCATACTTTCAGTAGCGGAAACGATTCAGAGGGGTAAACTCATAGGTACTACATTCAGAAATGATCACTCGAAGAGTGGTGTTCTTGGTACCCTTTGGACACAGCTGGTACTATCCGCCGTCGATCTGCGAATTTGAGATGCTCTCAAGGGAACTGAGTGCCCTGTTCAAACTCGTTGGTTGATTCTTTTTCGCAGCAGTCTCGTGGTCCTTATTTGGAATGCCTTATTAGCTAGAGCAGCGAATCAGTCGAACGTTTCGTTGTTACCCGCATGAATTGACTGCTCTTAACTGAGAATATGAGTAAATTAGCTCACCTCACTTCTTATTGTGCTTTTCGAGCCCGAAAGTTGACATATAATGCTTCTGATGGGGGTTCGTGACGCACGTTTTGCACAGAAATACAGTGCAACCACTGAAAAATTTCTACCCAGAGATTCTCAGTGCTTATTCAGTTTCAGTGACCTTGGGGTCTAAACGTTCGTTGCTTATGAAACTTATGTTACGGATCTTTTTGGCACCGCTAATGCGAATGCATAAGATCAAGTCACACTCACGATTCCACTTTTTATCAGTTCAACCTACCGATTTTCTGTACGTTTTCAAATCTCAACTAAAAGCTTTAATAATCTACAGTTGTTTCTGGCTAGCTCTGTGTATCAATCCGAATTAGGTGGTAAGGATCAAGTGCATTTGTAATGGTTTCCGCCAAGTATACGCAGAGAGTTGTAAATTTTTTATTCACAATCAGTGTGCCATGGAAGACTTTGCAATGGGATAGTTAGGACGTCACAGTTTCGAAGAATTGTGTTCGGACTTCTTCTCACAAACGAATTGCAATGTGTTTTTCTAAGCGTACCATATTAGTACTGCTGAGGCAACTTGAGTAAGCTTTCGGGAATGAACTTGCATCTTATAAACTCGCTGATTTCATGGGTTGCGTTGATGATGTTAATGGTGATGTGGTCGTCCCCGTGCTTTGCGACGTGAAGAAATCCTTACGTTTTTATGGAAAGGTATCTTCTATAACAGGAAATACTCACATAGATATAAAGCTACTAGTCTCACAGTCACAAAGTATGAGGCTCACAGGTAGACTTCAAGATATCAGAATTATTCAGGTGACAGTCTTCGAAGTAATGGTGAAATCTTCTAGCTGGAATGACCTATTTGCTCAGAGCTTCCAGCATCGAGAGGTCGGTCTTAGGATTGCTTGGTAACCTCTGGTAAATTTGAGGCATTCAGCATACGACCAAAATGCCCTCTGTGTCTCTTAGGATTGGAGGCCGTGAAAGGGATACTTTGAATACTGGGGTCATTAAAAAGTAAGCTTGAAGTTTGTCCTTCTATTCGAGTCCAGTTTTAAGTCTAGAATACGCACTAGTTGCTCAAAGTAACATAGTAATCATGTAAAAAGCTCTTACGGTTGTTTCAAATATAGCCTGAAAATGAAGTCCATTCGGGGAACTTTAACCACGTACAAGGAAGGATCACCATTAGCAGGTCAACTTGCCGTCCAAATGAAAGAGTAAGCGATTGGGGGTTTGTGGGCCACACTGTCCTAACGGGCATCAACGCAAGTGACATCAGTCGTGGGCTGGCGTCTATAAATCCTATTTTTAGAAGGCCATCCTGCTGTATGAAAATACAGTTTTACGCTATCTTTTGTCTTGGTCTATGGTCCGAAGTGCTATATAAGATAGAATGAAACCGAAAACAGTGCACAGTCGTGAGTGTTGGTGAAATGAGAGCTTTGTCATGGGTGAACAAGATTGTGACTATAATGCATTAAATCTTCCCGCATTATAAAATCTCAAGAGAGTGGTAATGTATCTACAAAATTCCGTATTCCATTGGTAGCAGTTCACACCCGGATTTTTGCGATGATATGGCATTGCAAATTGAATACCCATAGTGTGTGGATGGGTTGTTTTCTTTCACTGCAATTATTGAACAAACCATCCGTCTTCACACGATGTGAACAGTGTGAACATTTTTATATCTTAAGGTCACTCGTTATCTTTAGCATGAAACATTCGGCCTTACGTGATAAAGGAACGCGAGTCTGTCTCGTGTGATTACTAACATCCGCGAGCTCGCCTAATCCGACTAGATGACCAGGAGACGGTGAGAAATCACGTGGCTGCCCAATTCAATCGATTGCACATTGATCCGATATCTTCGTGACACGAACTTGCATGCTTATGAGTATTTCGAGGTTGCATAAATAACAAAGCAAAATGTGGGAATTAGTTACAATAGCACAACATTTAGTTGTGTTTTGAGTCTTTTGTGGGCTTATCGGTACGACTCAGTCCTAAACTAAAGCTGCAGACTGTTTACACCTTGGTTACTCACCATTCTGCTATCGATTCTGGTAGTAAGAAGTAAAAAGGAACGGATAAGCATAGCAAAACCTAGGCCGGATAATCTCTCAAGCCTCTTTACACAGCGTTGAACTTACAATTATGATGTGTCCTAAGAAGACGATAAATTAAAGTGTGTTCCAGAGGTTATACCAGAAAATGACCAGACAGGTAATTAGGGTTGTTAATTTTAAATATTCAACTCCCCTCTGGAAATGACCATGTCATAGTCAAGGGAGAATTTTCCGGGCCCAGTGTACGAAGCATTGGTTCAACCGCATTATAATTCAACGCAAAACTGACTAAATTTGACCCTAGAAAATTATGTAGGAACCAAAAGGTATAAATGGTTTACTTATTCCATCTGCTTCTGAGCTGCAGTCACTAATTGCTTTATACATTAAACCTACATCAAAGTGAAATCATCGTTTGGTGTCACAGACGGAAAGCTGAAGCATTCACTCCTGATCGTTTCCTTTAATTTATCCAAACTTGAGAAAAAGCCGTTGGTAATCGGGTCTGTGAGATTTGGGACATGTATGTGTCGTTGGGTATTTAGCGTGGGTCTTTTCCTTCAGGTATTCCGTAAGTGAGTGAAAAGTTTATCTAATCATTTACTGCATACTTTCTGAGCCACCACTATCACATTCTTTCTCGAAGTCGAAACGCTGATGCATTCCTCCGCGTTATGATTAGGAAACACCGCAAAAAGGTTCGGGACACCTTGGAGTTTACGTATGTACGCGGCTTAGAGTATGTTGAAGTACAGTCAGCTAAAAGTCCGTGCCGAAATCTACAAAAGTTTGCAAAAAATATAACAAGATACACCATAGGTGTCTCTGAAAATGATACAAAATGCAAAGGTTCTTGAAAACAAATCGATCGATAACTCGACCATGTGATGCTGGGTTGATTGTAGCAATCCAACTACACGTAAATTCATTTGCATGGCTTGTATTCCGATTTCGTTTTACCTGGTTGATTTGCCTGTCACAGTTTTGCTGGGAGTATGCAAAGCAAGACTGGTTGCTCCAAACTGACGCGCTGCGGCGTGTGGTGGTTACAGAGTGGTTTTTCCCAGTTGAATTAATTAGGTGACCAACAGTGTCAGATGTGCTCATGCACATTATATGAATCCACGCAGCAGATGTCAGAATCCTAGATGTATGTTGCGGAGCGGAATTTGGGCTTGATAATGCAGATTGGTAACCAAATTGTGGTCAGGATTGGTTCCCATGTCGGGTTAGGTATCCTATACCGTCAAAGCGTAGCCCGTCAAGTGGAAATACTGCATCTCTGAATGCCCAATACACCAGACAAAGTGGTATGTAGATTTACTTGGTGAATACTGATGAATGTATCCTCTAAATATTGTGATTCAAACGACGGTGCGATGGTCTGGTATAAAAACTCAGTAAGTAGGCCCCGAAACTCCGCTAGTAACTGAACAGCCTTATGAGTAGTCGGGTGTCTCGAATACTGTACAAACCGAAATATAAGACTGTCATAGCACATTCATTTGAGGAGGACTGTTATAAAAGAGAGGTTCGACTGGATTCAGTTGAGTCTCCCTCCAAGACCGAATCCACATACAAAGGAGAGGATTTGGCGAAGTTCACTAACTGTTTGAAAAACTTTTCCGAATGTAATATAGATGGTTGTCTAAACACTCCTATTTCGCGCACACAATACAATCCTCTTAGCAGTGTCCTCCTCCTAGCGCAGATCTATAAATAGATACCGAAGGCGACTGTGAGTTACTCTGCCTATATTTTATGGTTTCTTACTTTAGTCCATAGAAGCTGTATTTTCCTGATACTTGAGGTTGCTCATTGACGCCATAGGTCATTGCACACAGATAAAAGCTGGTAGGTTTGGATTACTGTTCTCTGTAGGTAAACTAAACCTAAAGCTTGCCCATCTTCCTCCTTATTCTTCCCTCCATCTTCCCTCCTTCTTCCTCCTTCTTCCAAGTTCCGACACCCATCTTTGCTGATCATTTGCGTTCAAGAAGAAACTCAACAGCAACATGGATTAGCAACAGTTCATGCTGCTGAAATTGGTTCTTACATACCATAAAGCCCAAATAATTCGGAAGTCAGTTCTTAGTGTAAGCTTGCTGCACAACCTGGCCCTTCAGTTTGATGCCGCGTTGCTAGCTCTGAGGTTATCGAAGCCATAAATCACGATCGCTTTTCTATTTTTATGTTTAATACCTAATAGCACTTTGTGGACTTCAGTGATGAACTAATGGACTTACATATCGTGAAATTAGTGGAAGCGGATTGGCCATATAGAATGCCTGGTTATTGAGACTAACTGACGTATTGTTCGTGATGGCTCAGTGGTTAGAGCGCTGATTTACTGACCGGGAAGTCTGTGGTTTGAACCTGAACTCTGCATCTCGACTGCTCCTGTCTAGGCTTGGGTAACCTGGCAGTATCTCAGATAGTCACCAGAATAGTGTCACCACCAAACGATTAGTATTATTATTTATTTGGTATAAATTTGAGTTTTTGGGGAACTTTCTAAGTGGTTTTTAATTTCTCCAAGTACTCACCTAACTCACCCGTACCGCCAACTACTCTGCAGCCGAAGTTGTTCGCCTTGGGCATGCTCCGGCGTGTATCACTGCATAAAATTGTGCACAATATTGCTGTATTACAGCAAAACGTAAAGGAACTGACGGATGAACCTCGGGTTAATGCGGTTCTACTACCAAATTACTCATGCTCAGGCAGATTGATTTATCTGAAATGAACTCTGCGAGGCTTTTTCCGGTTCCAATTGATTGATTTGTATTGCCACAGCTGCACGCAGGCGTCCAGTTATCCAGTCAAAGTGGCAGTTAAGACTATATGCCAAGAAATTTGATATTGCAGTGTGCTGGGCCTACTAGTTCGCTTTCTTCAAGCGAAAGGATTCGAAATTCGATCTGTTCCTCAAGGAATTTCGTTTAAGGACGGTATTTGCGCATAGGCTTCATTTCGGTATGATTTTCAGGATACAGTGCATTAAGAAAGTAGTTTTTCGTTTACCCATCGAGGTATGACATATGCGGTTTATCTGTATTTTTTTTAAATATATGTAAACTGAGCGGGTATGTGAGGAACAGTAACACTTATATGGTGAGCCATGCAAAATGTCAGCTGCACAATTAACCACATCTTTCACTTTTTTCCAGTCGAAACGTTTTGTGATCAGGCGTACAGCATTCGTCTTATACAGAACTGTCACTTCTCCATATAAATGTATTCACCAAAGAAGGTGGACATACTTGTAGTGTGGTCGTCGGACAGGAGTAAGCTACTGCCCTGTTTTTCACGGGTCCTCCTTCAGCTTAATAATCAGCTTGAGCGAAGTCGGTTTCACTTCATCCTTTAAGAAAACATGTTGGCTCTCCTATATTTAGGTTTGGTATCTTGTATTTGTTGACTTAACCGATTATCCGAGTGAAAACTCTATCCAATAAACATTTTTAAGACGTTATACAACCCCTAGATTCCTACAGTTATATCAGCACGTGGAGAATCAAGTAAGCAAACTTGACCAGGTGTAATCGGACATCCTCGATTAGAATTTCAGTTGCTATAATCTTACTTGAGAGATTTTATTAGCGGGATATAAGTTCAGATCAATCAATTAGATGAAGGGTAGACCCATAACCGAATAGATGAATAAAATATATAGTCAGAATGATGAACGAGGAGAGTTGGTTGATGAGATTTGGATCTGTTCTTTGCAGCGATAAAAGGCTAGTCAATCATCACCTGGATTTTGTCTTCAAAAAGTGCTATGCACAACATGATCCCGACCCCAGTGAACAAACCAAAGCTCTGTAGGAATACTTGTCCAACTCTTGTCTGTCCAGGGCGCAGCTCGGCTGAGCTCAACTCTGGAAGCTGTAGGGAGGGGCAGAAGTGAAATCAGGATGAGATACATTGGGTGCTCGAAAGAGAACTAACAAAGAAAGAACTAACTAGGAGGTGCTGAATCTCCTTGATCGAAGCACAAAGGTGCGAAGGACTTTTGAATCGATTTCCGCTATTTCCACCACATGAGATAAATACAAACAGCTTAGATTTAACTTGCCTAATTGTAGAATCACGTGTGACTTTACTCACACACAGTTTAACACAGTTTAGCGCTTTTATTTGACAGATGTTCTTAGTCAAATAGAATAGCCAAATACTGTTGTGTGAAATAGGGAGAATCACCTTATCAAGCTAACACGTTTTAATCGTGGTGGAGAACTCCAGCATCACCGTCACGAAGAGACTGGGCCTTACCGTGGTGTGACGGTTTGCGTACCTCAGCGATCCATTGAGCTATACTGGAGAGTGTCCCGCGACACTCACAGAATCTCTCATACCAGGTTGGTCTGACGAACGCAGTCTCCTAGCCCTCCAGGTTGGGGGTTGGAACATGCAGCGACTTGTTCCGTAGAAATGGTAATGCATTTGCATTTCCCGCCAAACACCGTTGCCTTGCGGTTAGGCTTT